GGGCGTGCGCGGGGGGGTGAGGCGGCGGGCGGAGCGAACGCGAGGGAGCAGGAGCAGGGTTACGGATTTCGGCTACTAGGGCATCGGGAGAAGCGACTCAGCTATCTGAAATTTGAGTTCCTATCTGAAATTTGAGTTTGAGTTTTTATACTAAACTTAGTCGCGGGTCTACTCCTGCAGGGCCCGCGGGCTGCATTTCAGGATAAACAGTTTATCCTGAAACGCACAAGCTGCCCCAAACAGACCCTTATCTAACATTCTTTTGGCACTTCACCCGTATAACATTTCATATGGGAGGAAGTCATTAATAATCAACATTAAAATTGACCTTGTCTTAATTCTAGCAACTTTTGTATTAATAATTGTAGGTAGACATCAATATTATTACATGGACTCTTATCCACTGATAAGATTGTAGACATAATGAAATAAGTTGGTTGCATCCCAATCCTAGATCTCTTATCAAACAATCCTTGTTGATTTCTTATTAACTCTCTTTGATTCTATGATTCTACTATTATGATTAGTAATACATCCCGATGAATCACAAATATGACGTACGCCCTGATCAAATTTATCTCCCAAGAACAACATGCAACCATTGAATCATGCATTCTATTTCCAAGATTAAATGATTTCATCATTTTTTTTTTCACTTCTTATGTGTTAGAAAAGAAAATATTTTAAACTGTCCAAGTGTAGCACAAAAGACAACTTAGTGAAAGATTTGCACATGGGATACAATGTCACCTCTACATCTTCAATTAGCTTCGAGATTTTATCATTATCCTTTGGAGGGTGTACACTATGATTTCTAGGATCAGCTTCAAGATTCATTGTAATATCATTTGATCCAAGTTTAAGTTTTAATGATCGTTCTATGTCATCAATGATTTATTGTTCAAACTAAATTGACACTTGATTTGTATTATGTTCAACACTAAACATTTCATTTCGTCCACCTTCGCTGATAGAAGAATGATATTCTCCATGTCTACTCCATATGACATGTCAATTAAAAAATCCTTTGACATAAAGTGAATTTTCACATCTTTGAAACTGTAGTAATATTTATTAATACATATTTTGCACGAATATAAAACTTTTGAGATGCAACTCTGCTTTGACTGCAAATTCCAAAAAGCTTTCAGCTTCTTTTATATGTTCAGGACTCCATTCAGATTTGGTTATTCATCTTTCATTCAATTTAGCACAATAAACTATAATAACTATTAGTAACTAAATGCATGAGACTAAATTACTAAAGCAAAATACATTCCATATTATAAATGTGGTTAATGAATTTCCAAAACATTCATCCAAAAGGGAATTAAGTGTATCTGTTATTATTGGATTCATCTCATTTTTTATTTGGGACCCTGCTATTAAACTATGGAGGTCATTTTTCTGTATGAAACGATTGCAATTTAAAGAAAAGTTTTAAAAAAATAAGAAAAGGCTCGCCTTTCTACATGCAATCCTTCCCTTATAAACTGGTCGAGTTGAGTAGAGCCACGAACCATTGTCGTAGTAAGACTTCACATAATCATCTGCATGTTGCAACATGCATGTTTAGGTGAATAGTCAGACTAGTGAGTCCAAGGACTAGCACGGATTTTATTTTTTTTTCTTTCAATAGTTTCTTAAAGATGTCCATAAATTTGTAAAAAAAATTACATGATGAGATGGCTAATTTGAAGAGCACAAAAATCTATTGAACATTTAGGGCTGTCTGGCAACTACTTATAGGCCAGGATTTACATTGGATTTAAGCCAAATCCTGCAAGATTTCATGGATTTCGCCCATAAATCTCGGATTTACTGAATTTTGCGAATCAGTGGATTTAACTTCACGCAATGCGGCTTTGAGGTAGGACAAGTAACGGCCATTCTGATAACGCTATCTACTCTTCCCCAACCGCTCCCGTGTTGATTGCTTTGTTGTCCATGGTTGTCGTCTACCTTGTGATTTAGCTATATAATCCGACCATAGTTCTGCCTTCTCTTCTACTGTTATCAATGAAGAGCTTTACGAGAGGTGTTGCGTTCTGCATTTGCCAATCATGTATTCCTTCATATTTTTTCTATCGATTCCCCCGTTCGATCATTTTTCCAACTCTAACCTATTTAGAGTGTGCGAACATTGCTAACCCTTTTTTTTTGAATGACCACCCTCATCGTTATCTTCCGCTTATAGATCGAGCAACTAATCGTATGTTTCTGCAAAAAAGCTTCTTCTGATTTCTGCCACCATTTCTGAGCTTTTGTTGTTGGATTTATCCCATTTTGTTTGAGACCTGCTATTAAACTTTGGAAGTCATTTTTCTGCATGAAACAATTGTGACCTTGCAGTTTAATGAAAAGTTTTAACAGTTAAGAAAAGCTTTGGCTTTCTACATGCAATCCATCCCTTATAAACTGGTCGAGTTAAGCTCGGGTCATACTCAACCTAAGTTTGATAATGACTAACTAATAAATTTTAACTCAACTATATTAGTTCATAACTGAAACCTATAAATTTGATTTTGTTCATGAAATGTTATGCATATCTATAGATAGATGTTTTGAAGTAATTATGCATAATGTTCATATCAAAATCTCAAATGTTTAAGCCCAATTAACAGTTTTCTTATCATGCAAAACTTAAAGTAGATGTTGTGAAGCATTTCATTGAAATAATTTTATCTTTTGAGATCTTAATTAAAACTTAGGCATGCCGAACTTATGCATATGTATAAATTGATGTTATGAAGCATATGGCAGTACTTTTGGCCTAAAATTTTTTTTCTTTGTGCTTAGTGGGAGTTTTAGGAACTTGATGAAATGTTACTGAACATACAAAATTTAATTTTTTAATTTATGCGAGACTAATAATAAGTTTTCTTCTTGAGTAGTTGTCATCCTGTTAACTTCGTATCAATAAAATAGTTGGAGGGGCATAATTTGATGAGGCTCTCGCTTGATCGTATTGAATACCTAATTCAAATTCACCATGTAATACCAATAATCGAGTTTAAATACACTACGGTATAGCTCCAACTTTATTTCGTCACATGTCAGATACACTTGATTCTAGTGCTTCGAATAGGGGTATCAGAATCTACTTCCAGAAAGCTGAACGGGCAATTGCGATGTCACATGCACAAACTCTTAAACGCTAGCAATAAACTCTTCCGTTAATCATTTCTTTCATGGATATAATCTTTAGACATCAACGATCCAACGCTTTGAATATCTATTTGTTACATGAATGAGCTCTATAGATTAGCGCACCTACACATTACACATTCTATTTGAAATCTTGGGCCACCTACACATCATACTCGAAACCCATAAGCCAGAAACCCAGATAATCAATCAATTAATGCATTAACACCCAAACTAACCCATCAACCCATCATTACAATATTAAATTAATACACAATTATATTACCCTTAACCAAACAAAAATCAACACTAGCCTAACTTCACCCAAAACTTACATATCTTATACCTAAATTTTCCTATTTGCATACATAACTCTGATTTCTTATTTATTTACATATATCATACCTAAATTTTCATATTTATAAACATAACACAAATTTCTTATGTATTTATATATTTCACACATAAATTTTCATATTTACATACAGAGCACAAATTTCTTATGTATTTACACGTCCCACTCCTAAATTTTCATGGTTACTTACGTAACATAAAATTTCTATATTACTTACATATCTCACACCAAAATTCATATTTATTTCTTATACATTTACATATCTCACACCTAAATTTCATATTTACATACATATATAGCACAAATTTCTTATGGATTTACATATCTCACACCTAAATTTTCATATTTACATACATAGCACAAATTTCTTATGGATTTACATATCTCACACCTAAATTTTCATATTTACATACATAGCACAAATTTCTTATGGATCTACATATCTCACACCAAGATTTTCATATTTACATGCATAGTAAAAATTTCTTATGCATTCATATATCTCACACCTAAATTTCATATTTACGTACATACCATAATTTTCTTATGCATTTTCATATGCCATATTTTTTAGATATAGCACAAAATTCTTATGTATTTATATATCTCACAACTAAACTTTTGTAAAATCATGAAATTCATATGTATTGTATGCCTGACAATGGAATAAGAAAATATACTTAAGCAAAACCTATGTATTATATCCTGTTATTTTGACCCCCAATTAATGAACTAAGGTAAAAGGGTACTTTTATAATGTGGTACCGCTCACCTACCACATCTCACCTACCGTTCACCTACCGCTCACCTACCGCTCACTTACCTCCCACCTACCACTCGCTTACCTCCCACCTACCACTCTCTTGCTTCTATAAATAGAGAGGGTGTGAGGCTTAGGAAAGCAAAGGAAAAAAATCTTAAGGGTGTGAGGCTTAGGAGAGAAGGGAAGAAATCTTAAGGGTGTGAGGCTTAGGTGAGAAGGGAAGAAATTTTTAGGGTGTAAGGCTTATGAGAGAAAAGGAAGAGATCTTAAGGGTGTGAGGCTTAGGAGAGCAAGGGAAGAGATCTTAAGCTACCACGAAGGA